AGGAGGACAATGAGGAGGCGGATGAGCGTTCGAGTGCAAGGCGAGTGTCCGAGGAGGAGGGGAGGAGGAGGAGGGGGCATCCCAGACCAACGTATTGCGGAGAGGGTGTGCGGGGACGACGTACCCTGAGCTATTACATCACCTATACGAGCATCCGTTTTCCGTTACTACCACGACTTTGTATGTTGTTACTAGAGCCGGCTACAAACGCTAGGACACACTACAGCATCACGATACTACGCAGTCTGCGTTGTAGACGGGAATATGCCACGTACTATGCTACGGGCACCTTGCTACGTCGACCGTACCCCCTGCGACGGTCGCATCCCTGGAGTGGCCACACCGCTCTACCCCATCCCTTCCCTCCAACCTCGTCGTCAGTGTATGATATAGGTAATACGTTTCTCTCTCTCTCTCTCTTGTTCTCCTTCCAGTCTCTCGGGAAACCTACCCTCGACAGCGTGCGAGGGTACCACCGCCGCGTTAGCCGTGCGTCCGCCCGCGGGCGCGCGCGCAGCGCGGCGGTGGACCAGGGATCGCCGGAGGAGGAGGAGGAGGAGGAGGAGGAGGAGGAGGAGGAGGGCGAGGACGAGGGGGAGGAGCGTCCGAGCGCAAGGCGATAGTGTCGTCCTCGGACGTCGCATGGTGCGACCACACGGCCAACCAGTTCACGCCGCGGGACGTGAGGGACAAGCGTGGCGCGTCGGGGTCACCCGAGAGACCCTCGAGGTTTGCCGAGCGAGGTCTTACGCTTGGACGGCGGTGGAGGAGGAAGAGGAGGAGGGGGAGGCGGAGGAGGAGGAGGAGGAGGAGGAGGAGGAGGAGGAGGAGGAGGAGGAGAAGGCGGAAGAAGAGGAGGAGGAGGAGGTGGAAGAGGAGGACGAGTTGAAGGATAACGAGGACTACGTAGGGGGACCAGGAGGAGGAGGAGGAGGAGGAGGAGGACGAGGAGGAGGAGAGGAAAGAGCACTTGGAGGAGGAGGAGGAGGAGGAGGAGGAGGAGGAGAAGAGGGAGGAGGAGGAGGAGGAGATCAGAGCAACCCGAGGCGCAACCGTGCTCGACATTGGAGGGCAAAGGTTAATCGGGAGTAAAGCGTGGACGTGTGGCCAGCTGCGCGGGGGCATGGAGGACGAGCCAACGAGAAGAAGGAGGATGAGGAGGAGGAGGAGGACAAGGAGGATGACGAGAACGAGGACGAGGACGACGATGATATTGATGATGATGATGATGATGATGATGATGATGATGATGATGATGATGGTGATGGTGATGGTGATGGTGATGATGATGATGATGATGATGATGATGATGATGATGATGATGATGATGATGATGATGAGGCTGATGCTGATGATGCTGATGATGGGTTTGGGTGATGCTGATGCTGCTGATGATGGTGGTGGTGATGATGATGTTGGTGATGATGCTGCTGATGATGATGCTCACGATGATGACGATGGTGATGGTAATGATGATGTTGATGACGGTGATGAGGATGCCAGTGCTGCTGATGATGATGCGGATGATCATGCGGTTGACGATAATGATAATGGTAATGATGGTGATGGTGGTGATGATGATGGTGATGATGATAATTGTAGTGAAAATGTTGATGGTGATGATGTTGATGATGTTGATGATGATGATGATGACGATAAGGAGGAAGATGATGCTGACGATGGTGCTGCTTCTGAAGATAATGAAGACGACGATGATGATGATGATGATGATGATGATGATGATGATGATGATGATGATGATGATGATGATGATGATGATGATGATGATGATGATGATGATGATGATGATGATGAGGAGGAGGAGGAGGAGGAGGAGGAGGATAATGATGAGGATGAGGATGATGATGAGGAGGAGGATTAGAAGGACGAGGACGAGGAGGAGGAGGAGCTGGAGGAGGAGGAGCGGGAGGAAGAAGAAGAGAAGTATCAGCAGGAGAAAAGAGAAGGATGAGTAGGAGGAGGATGTGCAGGAGGAGTAGGAGGAGGACAAGGAGGAGGTACAAGAGGTCCTGTGTCCAGAGGAGTCTCCGAGCACCTTGGGCGGGGCCAAATTGGGAAGATCCAGAGTTGGTCTGGACGTCGCTGCCCGGAGCTCGGGGATTGCCTCCTCCTCCTCCTCCTCGTCCTCCTCCTCCTCCTCCCTCCTCCTCCTCCTCCTTCCTCCCTCCTCCTCCTCCTCCTCCTCCTCTCCCTCCTCCTCCTCCTCCCTTCTCTTCCTCCTCATCCTTATTGCCTCCTTTCTCCTCCTCCTCCTCCTCACTTTCCTCCTCCTCCTCCTCCTCCTCCTCCCACTCCTCCCCGCCTCCCTCCCTGCCTCCCTCCTCCTCCTCCTCCGTCTCCTCCTCCTCCTCCTCCTCGTCCTCCTCCTCCTTCTTGCCCTGAGTGGGACGTTGGGGTCAGCGCCTCGGGTAGAAGCTGGCGGGGGCACCCATGCCACATCCCCAAGTGGGGGCCCCAAGAAGGGGTACCCAGCACAGGAGCAAGTGAATTAGCATGTGCGTTGTCCATGGGGGCCGGGCCCTCGCGCAAGTTGGCGACACTGTCAGGAACCCCCATGTTCAGGAGGACGTCCGCGTCGTCGGCGTCGCCCCCCCTGCTCCAACTCCTCGTCCCCATCCCTCCCTCCTTCTGTTCCTCCTCCCCGCGGCGGTGGAGCAGGTACTACTCTGCTGGGTACCGTATCCTGGTGCTCGGCCCTACGCCGCGGGGACATTGGTAATGCCAGCTGCGCTTCACGGCTGTTGGGTCCCGCCCCGCGGCGCATTGCCCAGGGCTGTGGCGCTCAGCTACGCCCGTGACGCTGGAGCCACCTTGAGTTTCCAGGCGCGGGAATCGTGCATTTGATGGAGTGGCGGGGCCGTGTGGTCCATAAGTCCCATGGGGCATTCGTGCCTACTCACCCTGGGGCGCCAATCCGGTTGCACGTGTCAGATGTTTTGGCAGGGGTTGGTAGTCGGGAAGGGCCTCACAGTGATGGTGAGCCGACTGTCCCCCTACGCACCACCGCCATCACGTATGAGTAGCGAGTCGCGTGGCGACAAGGCGCCGACCTGAACCTCGACCGCGTTGCGCGAGCTCCTCGCCGATGAGCGAGCGACCTCCTCTGCACGCGAGGAGGGAGGTCGCCCCGTGTGGGGGCGGAGGGCGGCCAGTCTTGCGATGAGGCAGTACTCTCGTGCGTGGCAATTCTCTCGCGCGGGTTCGCTTCTCTGTTCTCCATGGCTCCATAGCTCCTCTTCTTCCTCCTTCTTCTCGCCCCCCTCAATCCTCCCTTCGCCACCCATCCTCCTTTATCCTCCTCCACCCTCCTCCTCCTCCTCCTCCTCCTCCTCCTCCTCCTCCTCGTCCTCCTCCTCTTCCTCCTCCTCCTCCTCCGCCTCCTCCTCCTCCTCCTCCCCCTCCTCCTCCTCCTCATTCCCCTTTTTCTCCACCTCTTCCTCATCCTCCTCCTTCTCCTTTTTTCTCCTCCCCGTCCTCCCCTTCTCCCTGTTTCAGCTTACCTCCTTCCCCTCCGCCTCCTCCCCTCCTCCTCCGTCTCCTCCTCCTCCTGTCACGCCGCAACTCCTCCCCTCCTCTCCTCTTCCCTCCTCCTCCTCCTCCTCCTCCTCCTCCTCCTCCAGTCCTCCTCCTCATAACGTCATCCTCAACTCATCCTCCCTCCCTCTACTTCCCATTCGCCATCTCGCTGTCCCCGTCCGCTCCTCCCCGCCCTCATCCTCTTCCTCCTCTCTTTCCTCCTCCTCCTCCTCCTCCTCCTCCTCCCCCTCCTCCACCTCCTGTTCCTCCTCCTCCTCCTCCTCCTCCTCCTCCTCCTCTTCCTCCTCCTCCTTTTCCTCCTTCTCCTCCTCCCTTCTCCTCTTTTTCCTCGTCCTCGTCCAGCGACTCCTCGTCATCCTTCAATTTGTCCTGTTCTTCCACCTCCGCTTCTTCCTCCTCCTCCTGTTACCTTCTCCTCCTCCTCTCCTCCGCCTCCTCCTCCACCGCCTCGTCTCCTCCTCCTCCTCCTCCTCCTCCTCCTCCTCCTCCTCCTCCTCCTCCTCCTCCTCCTCCTCCTCCTCCTCCTCCTCCTCCTCCTCCATCCTCCACGCTCCAATCCTCCACGCTCCAATCATCCCCCGCCGGATGCCACGCCTTGGCCCGCCCCCCCCCCCGCGCCCCATAGATCCCGCCAGCGGGGGGCCCGCAGGAGCCACGTCGCGGCCTCCCCCCTTGGGCGTGCCAGGAACCCTCCGCCAAGGATCGCCCAGAGACCCCTCTCCGGGTTCCCTTGCGGCGGCCGCGGCGGCCGCGCGCAGGCAGGATCCGTCAGAACCGAGTCGGGAAATCCGATGCGGGGGAACGTTGCGCGCCGGTCGTTGGAAGTCGGATCCCCGGATCCCAATGTATTCGTAGGCGCCTTTCTACTTCAAGAATCGAGGGGTTTTACCTTTTTCCTCTTCAGAGGGCGGGCGGAAGCCCAATCTACCTTCAACGCCTTCCGACCCCATGTGTCGACCCACTTCTTCCGACCGGCGGTTTGTTTCGAGGTTCGAGGTTTTCTGGTGTCTTCGTTGGTTCGCGGCTTCCAGATCGGGATGCGTTCCCGCGGACGCGCCTCGCCGAGAGCGTTCCGTAGGTGCCCAGATCGTCCCGGACGGCCGCCGGAGGCCCGATAATTACGACCCGAAACACTTCCAGGGGGCCAGTTCAGGCGGGAACCATCGACGTGGAGTCGGCGATGCATCGCCGATAGATCGGCGATGGGCCCCCTATGGCGAAACTGCACATTCCTGGGCAGGGAAGGGGCTATAGGGCCTTCTTCATGGGCGACCAGTGGACCATCGGAGGTCGATGCTCCCCTCCCCCGAGCCTATCTCCCCTGACGGTGCCCCTTACAGTGGCGTTCGGCCGGCTGCAGAAAACGCGAGGGGTCTCCCAACCATGGCGCCTGGATGGGGGAACAGGAGGAGGAGGAGGAGGAGGAGGAGGAGGAGGAGGAG